GAACTCCACACACAACGTCTCTAACCCTCTTCTTTCTCCACATCACTCTTCCAGCCATTACTCAGTGTAGTGGACTGTAGTAGCAAGAACCTTTGTCTGCTCAGCACGCCTTCCCTCTTCTGGTTCCTTAGAGGAACTCCACTGCCACTCCATGTAGTCCTAGCGAGGCTGTCATTCATGGTGCCTCAGCCTCCACCACACAGGATGGATACTTGACCCAAAGTAGACAATCAGAACAGCCCAGCCCCCTTGCTAGGGATGGTAACAACTCAAGAAGAGTTCATCTGAAAAACGAAGCCAAATTAAGATAAGCAAGGTTGAGAGATGGAGAGAGAGCCCTAAAAGTACTTTTTGAACCCCTGGATCCAGCTCTGCAGTTTCATAAGCCAACAGATTTTCTTCTTAAAGTTAGGAGAGTCAAAGCTGATCACTTGCAACCAAAAGAGTCCTGACAAATACATAGTTTTCTCAAGTAAATTCTATGCTCTCACTTTTTCCTTCCTCATCACATCTGTTCTATCTGTGGGTCCTTAAATGACTCTAATCAAAGCTGACACACTGTATTACAACTCATCTACCACTAAGAGAAGGAGATAGCATTCAAGTGGTCTAAGGGGCCTGTACCAACCAAAAGAAGAGCAGGGATATTTATTTATTTATTTATTTTGTGAGGAAGATCAGCCCTGAGCTAACATCCATGCCAATCCTCCTCTTTTTGCTGAGGAAGACTGGCCCTGAGCTAACATCTATGCCCATCTTCCTCCACTTTATATGGGACGCCGCCACAGCATGGCCTGACAAGCGATGTGTTGAGGCATGCCCGAAATCTGAACCTGGGCCACCAGCAGCTGAGCGTGCACACTTAACCACTACGCCACGGGGCCAGCCCCGAGAGATATTTATCACCTCCATAACCTATCAACTTTGGTTAAATTAAAATTTCAAAGGTAACCATTAAAGCAGAGCAAGTGCAGAACATCCAAACTAGTAGAAGGAAAAAAAGCAGATGATTAAAAATAACCCACAAGAAGACAGAGCAAAAATGGAGTATGTGCAGGACAAACACATGGAAAGCATAAAATATGAAGACAGACTTACACCTAAATACATCAGTGGTCATATTAAATGAAAATGGACTAAATGTTCTAGTTAAGATGCAAAAACAGGCCAAAACAAAACCAAACCCAGGGGCCAGTCCGGTGGCATAGCGGTTAAGTTCATGCGCTCTGCTTTGGCAGCCCGGGGTTCACAGGTTTGGATCCCAGGCGCAGACCTACACACTACTCATCAAGCCATGCTGTGGCAGCATCCCACATATAAAATAGAAGAAGACAGGCACAGATGTTAGTTCAGGGACAATCTTCCTCAAGCAAAATGAGGAAGATTGGCAACAGACGTTAGCTCAGAGCCAATCTTCCTCACCAAAAAATAAATAAATAAAAATCATATGTTGTTTATAAGAGATATATCTAAAACACATAGATACAGAAAGGATGAAACTAAAAGGATGGAAAAACGTATACTCTGCATAGATTAACCAAAAAATGATGGTGTAGCTATAATGATATCAGATAAAACAGAGTTTAAAAAAAATTCTTTTACTACAGATAAAAAGAGCAACTTCATAATGCTAAAAGGTTAATTCACCAGGAAGACAGAACAACTTCATATCTGTATGTACTTGGTAATAGGGCTCAAAGATAAAAAGCAAAAACCAGAAGATGAAATAGACAAATTCATAAACATAGTTGTATATTTTAACAAATCTTTCTCTATAAGTAGAATAGGCAAAAAAAAAAAAAAAAAAGAAAAAAATCAGTAAGGATAAAGAAGATTTGAACTAATAAACTTGATCTAATAGCATTAGATACAACATTGAATCCAATAACTGTAGAATACACATTACTTTCAAGCACACATGTAACATTTATGAAAACTGGTCATAAACAGAGCCCTAACAGAAATTTCAAAGGATTAAAATAATACAGAACAAGCTCACTGACCAATCAATTAATAAAAGATAACTAGAAAATACTCATGTTTGGAAATTAAGAAACCTATTTCTAAGATACGTATGAGTCAAAGGGGAAATCACAATGGAAATTAGAAAATATTGAACAATAAATGACTAAAAACTACCTACCCAAACTGTAAGCTCCTGCTAAACAATAATCAGAGAAAAATGTGCAGCCTTAAATGGAAAGAATAAAAATTAAAAGGGTAAAAATTAATGAACTAAGCATCCATTTCAAGAAGTTAGACAAAAAAACCAAATATATCCAAGGAAAGTAGAATGAAAAACATAAAGAAAAGAGAAGTTAATGAAATAGACTATGGAGAACATCAACAAAGACAAAAGTCGATTCTTTGAAAAGAACTTCTACTGAAACTGAAGAGGAAAAAAAACGGAGAAAGCATAAAAATGAAGTTGGAATGAAAAGGAGGATATTGCTACAGATGTTGCAGACATTAAATGAATAAAGAAATATTATAAACAACTTTATACAAATAAATTTGAAACCTTAAAAGGGACAAATTCCTAGAAAAATGTTACTTACTGAAACTAACAAGAAAAAATTTTTTAAATTGTCCTAGAACCATTACGAACATTGACTCTATGGTCAAAAATAACCTAACAAAAGAAAACAAACTTCCAGACCCAGGTGGCTTCATCACTGAGTTCTCACACATTCAAAGGACAAAGGAGGGAAATAAAATGAATGATGGAGGAAAAGGATGATGGGTATTAGTTAGCCCTCTGGACTAACTAACTTCATCAGGGACTGTAGTTGTCCCACTAACCTTCCTCTTGTAAGTTTTCCCAGAAATTGTGACCAACCAGAATCCTGGAGAAGCTGTATCTGGATGGAGTGAACTTAACATAAGAAGGGAATGTATCCGAATGGACTGTAGAGAATACTATTGGTGCCCCACCCATATCCTCTTTACTAGCTAGCACACCCATCCCCCAGACAGAAAGGTCAGCTGATAACTCACAGAAGTCTCTTTCTCCAGAGAACTACCTCCTCACCTGCTTATACCTCTCTTCCCCCAACCCCCCATCCTGCTTCCTTCATTTTCCTTTTCCTGAGCACTTCTCCCAATATATCACTTGAACAAGAATCCCCATTTCAGGCCCTGATTCTATAGAATAGGATCTAAGATATCACTATTTAAGATGGTGAAAAGAGAGTCACAGAGTAGGAGAAATTATCTTTAAAACGCATAACTGACAAGGGAACACTAACAAAAATATACAAAGAACTCTGACAAATCAATAAGAAAAATTGAAAAATAGGCAAAAGACTTGAATAGGCAGTTTACAGAAGAGGCCATCCAATTAACCAATAAAAAAGTGCTCAACATCAGTCACAACCAAGGAAAGAAAATGAAAACCACAAGAGTTATCATTATACACCCATGAGACTAGTTTAAAAATTTAAAACTGACAATACCAAGTATTTGCAAGGCTGTGAAGCAACTGGAACTCTCATATACTGCTGGAAGGAAAGTAATTGGTACAATCGCTTAGAAAACGGTTTGGCGTTATCTAGCAAAGCAATTCCACTTCAACATACATAATCTAAAGACACTTATTCACATACATAACAGAAAATGTCAAAGGATGTTCTTGGCTGCATTATTCTTGGTACTCAGAAACTAAAGCAACACAAGTATCTGTCAACTACAGGATGAATAAATATACTGTGACATATTCATAGCGTGAAACACTGTCAGCAATAAAAATAAGTAAGGTCATCACATGAGTGCAGCTCACAAACAGCAAGTTGAGCAAAAGAATCAAAACACAAAATGCACATGGTATGATTCTCTACGCAAGACGTTAAAAAACTAGTAAGAATTAACTATATTGTTTAGGGATGCAAATATAGGTGACAAAACTACAAAGAAAAGCAAAGAAATGATTATCATGAAAGTCCAGATAGCGGTTTCTTTTGGGGAGGAGGTTATGAGTTGGAGGCGGGTGCTGCTGAGTACTGACAATGTTCCACTTCTTGACATAGGCAGTAGGTACATGTGTATTTCCATTAGGACTGTTAACTAAACATGTGTTTTTCTTTTTTTTTTTTTTAAAGATTTTATTTATTTATTTTTTCCCCCAAAGCCCCAGTAGATAGTTGTCTGTCATAGCTGCACATCCTTCTAGTTGTTGTATGTGGGACACGGCCTCAGCATGGCTGGAGAAGTGGTGCATCGGTGCACACCTGGGATCCGAACCCAGGCCGCCGGCAGCGGAGTGCGTGCACTTAACCGCTAAGCCACGGGGCCGGCCCCTGTGTTTTTCTTCCTGCATGCATTGTTGTTATATATCATATTTTTAAAAGTTTAAAACAAAGTTAAAAGTTAAACAAAGTTTAAAAGTTAAAACAAAGACAGTGAAATAAACATAGTGATTATTGTTTGAATCTTAGAAAAGTTGAGGGAACTGAAAATCTTTTATTTTTAAATTAAAACCTTGCCCCCCAAATCCCTAACAGGGTACATGCCGAGGAAAATTTCAATAACGCCTACTTCTCTTAGGACTACAGGTGGAGATGCAGTCTCCTGGGAAGAGATCTATGCTTTGCCAAGAGTCACCAGAGGGCCCCTCTTACATATGAAAAGTAAGGTGAGTGGACACCCAAAGGCCTAGGGGAGCTGTCTGGGTGATGGCTGCCATTCCTGAGAATCCCTGGTAGGCAGAATCCTGGATAGGAAGTAGAACCAATTTGCCAAAAAGCTCTGGGTTAGAGTTAAGAAGCGGACAAAGGATTGAGCATCCAAATCCTGAGAAAAGGTGTGAAAATGGGGAAGTCTCTTGGGTGGTCTGGGGTGATCCTGAGCAAGGCTGCTAGCAAGAAAGAGCCCCCTAGGCCCCCAAAGAGAACTCATCAGGAGACTGGGGAAACCAGCCTGGTGATAGGCTTCATACACGGCCCAGAGGCCATGCTTTGGGGAGAATGGCTAAGCATGTGAGCATAAACTAAAAAAGCTCTAACCTTGGAATCCAAGCATGGGATCAAGCTGGCAGGAACCTGGTCCAATGAGGGCGCTGAGCAGCAGTGACCACACATCCTTGGCCCATGCAGGACAGCTCTTCAATAGTGATACCATATAGCTGTGTCAGAAATAACAATGTGGGTGGACCGCTCAGACTCTGCAGTTCTCTCTCCTCTGGAGAATGGAAGACTGAGTGACTTCTTTGGGCTGTTTAATCCCCCAGGGGGCTTGGAAGTGGGAAACAACAGAATTCTCACTAGTAAGGGCATTAAAGGACTTGGGAGATTACTTGGAAAAGTAAAGAAATACATGACTGCATTAGAACCCAACTGGTGAAATGAGACACACAAGTTAAACATCTAAAATGAAATAGACAAAATCTTAATTGAATGTCTGTTTATCTACCTTTATGTACACAGTATCATGTCTGTGAGTAGGAAACTAATACATCACTGAGCTAACAGAAAGAAGGTAATGAGAGAAATTAGCAGGCATTTCACAAAGCCCATGACAGTGACTCAAGAGAAGGTTCATTCATTAAAGCAAACTCAGAGAACAAAATGCTTCCTGCACCATCTATTATTCCTATGTGACTGAGACATGTAAAAGGAACTGGTTTCTTTTACATCTTCCTTGAAAAGCATGTGGGTATGTGATGTCTTCCTGGTCGCCCAGGACACTATCCCTCCCACCTTTGAGAGCTCTCCCTGGCTCCCAAACCATACCTTCATCAGAGCCCCACTGATTTGCCTCTCCATACGGTAATGGCCTCAGATTAACACCCCCAAAGATTCAGAGGTCCCTAAGCCAGGGTCTATACGTGTTTTTGTCTGTTTCCACTTATTCTCACTCCTCTTGACCCTCCCATGGAAGCATGTTTGTTAAACTAAAGAAGGCAGGAAGGAGGGAGGGGGGAAGGAAGGGATAAGCTGCACTGCAACTGAAAAAAGAGGACCACCCCCAGAAAACAGAAACCCCCAGGGAACTGGGACTGCTTGACCACGTATTACACAACAGCTACTTGTGCTATCATAAAAATACAATCCATCTGATAACCATGGAAACCAAATTGAAGGCACTATGGTGAGGGTGGCTCTTTTCAGAAATCTAGAAACAATAAGAGGCCTGAAACCAGAAAGACAAGAAATCTTACGAGTGCCAGGCCAGAAGGAAATCCTTTCCTAAAAGCCCTGACAAAGCAGCATTTTCTCAGTTTCTAAAATCTCAGCAGGCTTCAACAATGGCTCTGGGACTGCTGTGACTGATCATGAAACAACTCAGGCCTCTCTGGGTGCTTCTGTCCCTTGGGGCCAGCTGCTATGAGGCAAGCTCCCTGAGCTGGAACTTATTGTTATTATGAAATGTACTGAGAACCAGCAGAGGGAGATATACATACACACACACACACACACACACACACACACACACACATATAGAAAATATATATATATTTCTTCTCCAGCTCCTAGTAGGTATACAAGCACACAGTAGGTACTCCATAAATACTTACTGAATAAATGAAGAATTAGGTTAGAACTCAGAGAAACAGTGTCTGGTAAGCAGTGTGTGTTCTTTCCACTACCTAGTGCCAGCATTCTGTTGGGTCCTGAGAAAATCTCAGTCCCATCCTCATTCTGGGTCCAGTTTCTCCCTTTGCAAAAGGAGACAGCTGGCCTAGACGGCTTCCCAGGCATCTTCCAGCTCTGACAGTCGATCACTGTACTGTGCTTTTTTTGGTGGCAGCACATGCCTGGCACTCTTCTTTCCCCTTAGAGGGAATCTGATACCCATCTGCTCGAGTACACTAATGTTCCCATCCTGCTTGACTCTTTTGGTAGGAACAGCAGGTTCACATGCCAATTGTAAATGAGAAGGCAAAGGGGGGCCCAGAAAGAAAAAAGAGAAAGGGTCCCACTGGCCGCTTTCTTAGGAAACCAAAACAGAACTCTTTTTAGGACTGAATATATAGCAACTGAAGTGTGGTTATTCTAAACACCCCTCATGTGAGGCACTCTCTAGCTTACTAATTTAATAATAATTATAGTAATAGCACTATCTATTGTGCATTTCTGCACTGGACACTGTGCTAAACCCTTTACACTTAATCCTCACAGCAACCTCAGGAGCTAAGTACTATTATTATCTTCCTTTTAACAGATGAGGGTTCTATCCAGCTCAAGGTCACACAGCTAGTAAGTGGCAGAACTAGGACCTGAACCCAAGTCTACCGGACTCGAGAGTTCTGGCTCTTTAAAGGGCTTTCCGTCTGTTCTTCACGGTAGTCCTACGCGGGAGGCAGCGCAGAGCTTATCACCTTTACTTTAAAGATGGAGAAACCGAGTCTCCGAGAGGCTTGCGATGTGCACAAAATACAGAAGACGTTAATAGGTGTCTGGCTCAGACACTCGCTCCTGCGTCCCCAGGTGAGGGCTCTCCCCATCCCAAGAGTCTGCTTCTTCCTCTTCGACTTCACCGACACACTCGGAAAACCTCGGGGCCGAAGGCAACCGCGGAGATCCACGTTCCCGGCCCGGCGTTTGACAGGAGGGGACACCAAGGCACAGCTCTTCTTCGGCGCGGCCGCTGAGGGCGTCCCCTCCCGGTCCCGCCAGGGCCAGATGCTCAGCCTCTCGGGACGGAGCGGCGCCTCCTCGGCCGGTCTCCTCGAGATGCGCCCCCGGTCCGCGGGAGCAGCCCGCCGGCGCCCGAGCCCCCTCCCCGCCGCCCTGCTCCGGCACCCCGGG